AAAACTAAGGTCATAACAGTTACTGAACTACAAATGTTAGCATGTGGCTGCGGTCTCAACAGCTGGGTAATTTCCTAAAAGCTCTCTTGCATAGAAGCCTAATAATAATAATGTTTTATACATTAGATAGTAAAATATTATGTTATATACCGTTATTTTATATATAAAAACTAGAATCACTCAAATATACAATAGCTGCATTTATTTACGAAATACATGAAAAAAAGTTATAATGTGAGGGATTACATAGAATTTATTCCGCTGTAATTGCTTTAGCCATGAAGACAGACATAGAAAAAATAAAGCAAAATTTGTAGTAAAATGAATGACTAATTAAAAATGCAACTGTTAACTGAAGAAAGGGTTTTTGTTTTATGTAGGAACTTGCTTAATGGACCACTCTAAAGTTCTACTGTGCTCTTACTGTGCTCAAAGGCTGTGACAAATTTGTGCAACTTTCCCAAGATCTCACATTAAGGAATTATTTAGAGGACAGTCATTTTATTTCCAAGATGACTGCTACTGTTGTTGGACACCTCATGGTAAAAGCAACCTCACAGAAAAACAGTGGGAGAGAGAAAAAGTACTATATCTGATTAGGATCAGAAAGCTACGTGCAAATATATACAAGAGCTTGTAAAAAGAGAAGGGCAGCAGGACACAATTCTTGCTGGGGGAGGTGGAAACTATTTTCACTTATCTCCTTGCACTTCTCATTAGTGAACACATCATTAACATGCACAAAGGAAAAAAAGCAGTCGTCTGCCAAAACGTGCTCAAACTTTTCACTTATTTCACAGCAGTTGAGATAGGCTCTGGGTATGTACCATGCGGAGCTTTGTGCTTCACATTCTATCTTTCCTATTTCTAATAGATTTTAATTATGTTAAAAGAAGAAACTATTTCTGCAGCTTAAGGCAACAGTTATCACAGCTGGATTCGAAGAATGCTAACACCAAAGAATTGAGAAAAGCAATAGTATCAGATTTTACAAAGCTTTATTAGACAAAACAGCATTTTGTGCCAGCTTTAGGATTAGAAGCAGCTGTTGAGTTCATTATTAGTGAAAGCAATTTGATTTCTAATAATATTTTAGATGCTATCGCCATTGTTTACCATCCTGCACTAGGTTCACAGCCTATGTTTCTTGTTAATACCTAAGTAGGGAAAAGAAAAATATATATGTGCCTATATACACAATTCTCAAGTATGTGACCAAAAAAACAATGTTTAACAAACAAACAAGCTAAAGCCAAACAAACCCCTTTCATCCTTCAGAGTTGAAAAGCAACCTTCATGTCCACATTTTCCTTTGTTTGCTTCCCACACCTGGTGCCAGCTAAAGAGCAGGTATACAGCTATCCATTGGGAACACTTTACCAAAATCAAGTGAATGATGCAGTCAATGCAATTTTATCTTTCTGTATTTATTCAAAAATTGTCATGGAAACTAACTAGTTCTTTTTTCACACTTACTGCAAACAACTCTGAAATCATTACACTCATGTTTGCATTTTCACAGAATACAAGAATTGATGAGGGTATCTTAAGTATTTTTCAATTATGTTTGCAAAAACAAAATGGCAAGAGGTACTACGTTTCACTTCTTTGTAGGAAAAAAACCATCATGTACTAAAATGCGCCCTGTCCCTGCTCACTTTAGACTCAAAGGGCAGCTGAGCGCTCTAGCTTTCTATGTGTGTGTGTTTGTTGACCATTTTGCTCTTTCCAGAGTTGCTAATACCTTATAATTTAAAAACTAATAGGATATGATCCACCTTTCCCCCAAATTTTTTTACTGTTTCCACTTTGTTGTGGTACTTCTCGAGAACGAGGTAGCAAAGATGAGAACAGTGTCTCATGCAGCCATTCCCAGATTCAAAAGGGTGTTTAAATTAAAAAAGGATAACATTTCATGGTAAATGAAATGCGAACTATCAGCCTTGCCAATGTTTATTCAAACATTTAGCTTTATGTAAAATAGAACCAGTTGTTCCAATTTGTTTTTACTAGAAATTTGAGTATTATAGTTCATTATCAGTATATTAAAATAACACATTTATAATAAAAAAAACATTTACAGAAATAAAGATATTACCAAAACAAATCCATTATAATTTCTTATGTCATTATAAATGCTTAGCAGACCCTGAAATTCTCTTCAGTAATTTGACTACTTAGTCATTCTGGCATAAAATCAAAACAAAGCAACCTTTGTAACTCATGTGTGAAATGAGAAACTCCAGACCTCAAAATAAACACGTCTTTTACCCATTATATAACATTTTGGTCACCCAACTGTATTTTAGGTTTCCATTCAGTTAGCAAATTAACTTGCTATAATACCCACTAGTGCAGCTATGACTAAGGTTCTTTTATCACAGGCTTACAACACAGGCATAGACTCTAGTATTAAAGACTTCCTAATTTAACAGTAGCATGACCCCACATTATTATGGGTCCTTTACATTCTATTTTACCCACTGCATCAGAACTGGTACAATATCAATGGAATAATAGCAAAAAGACTACATTGCAATCAAATAGAATCTCAATAACCTGAGTCACGACAAAGTAGCGACGGTGCCTTGGTGTTTCAAGGAAGCTGAAAGAAAGTTGAGCTCTAACTCACTTTAAAACTCTCCAGCTGTCTCAGTGGAATATACAATTTCATTGAAAAGACATAGAAACTAAGATTTTACTTTCTGTTCTCCCTCTGAAATTAAAGCTATTCAAAAGAATGTCAGCAATTTTTTTTTTCTGGAGAAAGAAAGAGAAATGAAAACAGAACAGACTATCATGGGTTGTACCTCAATGCAAATTGTCTCCTGGACTTCTAGGAAATTACTAATGAGGTATAGTACTTAATGTAAAGCTACAGCTGTAATGAGTTATGCATCAGTTTCACATCTTTCAGAATGTAAAACTAAGGCAAAGAATATTGCCTAGGCTGTGATATTCCAAGACAGCCACATCACCATACTCCTTTCCATGGACTAATCAAAAACTTGCATAATACCGACTACTCGACCATGGATGCTCTGGTTACTTTTTCAGTCATCAGGCCCTATTCTCTACTTTTCTGGTTTATTATAAATCTTTGTTACAGGACCTATAATTTCATACATCAGTTCTTTCAGAAGTCTTGAATAATATTATTAAGGTCTCTTTCTTCGGATCAATGACTTCTAATTCTCTTAGACTTGGTGACTTCCAGCTCAGTGGGTCTCATTTTCATTAGCCCACTCCACTTACCCCCACCTACACATTCACTGGCCTTACTGAAGACAGAGGCAAAATACTCATTTATTTGAGGAGGCATACCTGGATTACTTTCTATCTTGATTGATACCTCATCATACAGTTTCCACAACTTCTTTCTTCTACGTATACAGCCAAGAACTTTTTTGTTACTTGTTTGAATTACGATGATAGATCTCACTTAGCTTGGCAAATCTCACTTTATCTTTACATTTTCTGCCCCATGAGACACAACCTTGTTAATAAATCCTTCTTCCCCTCTTTCTGGGCTATCTACTCATGTAACACTTCTGAAACTAATGTCTGGTGGTTTTATGTAGAAAATGTTTTCCAACTGTCCTATCTTTGATATACCTTAATCGGTTTTTACACTTGCAACGAAAATAAAGCTTCCCCTCTGTTGAAACTGGCCAGCATCTTCAGCTCAGCTGACTTCACTAATTAATTCCACAATTTCCTAAGCTTCTCCTTCTTTGAAATCAAGACTCTATTATGCTGACCTACTTTTTAGTAAGATTAAAAAATTGTGATCTTTCAATTTAAGATACTTTCTACAACCAGGCTTTCTCCGATAGCCTCACCACCTAACAAAGCCTAAGATAGCATCATCTCTGCATGCATCAATGACTACTTGATGAAGCTCACTGCATCAAGAGTATCAGAGGATGATACTGGTCTTTACATGCAATCTGTATCAGTTTTCCAGTTAGGAAAACAGGAAAAAATTGGTCTGTGATGATGTGGAGGAGCATATTTAATCATGTTTGGGAACCTTGGTTTTTTGGATTTACATACTCTGCTTAAGTATAGTATATAAACCCTATGGCTAATTATTATTTAGTTAATCAATATTGCTTGTGATCCTAATAACACTTTTTCCTCATCATTATACAACAGTTGGAAAACTTGTTCAAGTACCTGTTCTCTGCATCTACTGATCCTCTCAGACAACAAATCCGAATTAGTCTTTTCTTCATCAAGCTCAAGTTCCAGGTGAGATAACTTGTCCTAAGTGGAACAAAGAAAAGTAATTTCAACATACTACTTTCGCATCCTCTTCAGATTGCTATCAGGGCATTCTTCCTTAAACTTCAAGGACTCAAACTGTCTGAAAGATTAGGCTTGAAAAGTGAAATGCCTCTGAAAACACGTACAGAATCTAGAAAAAGAGATGGCAGGTAGATAAGCCTTTAAAGCGAATTTGTTTGTCTGACAGAAGTAAAATAGAAGTTTCATTTCCTTTTTTAATCACTCCCACCAATTTCAAGAAAATAAGAGAAATTCTGTAATGTTTCTAGAGACTATTTTTAGAATGTCTAAGTTACATTATAAATTTGGAAGATAAATTTCTTTTCATATGAGTACAATGGTATAAAAGTGTTTGTTTATGAAAGTTAAATGGCAGCTTAGTTGAACTGAACAGTTAGGAAGCTAACCCTCTAACAACATAGTTAGAATAACGATGTTATTTAGGCCCCTGAAATGACCTGATATTAGATGCTAAATAGAACTTACACTTCTAAATACTTTTGAAGTTCTGAGTGATGGGCCTACAAATGAAAATAATAGTTTTGCCTGATAAACTCCAGAGAAAATTAATTAAAAAGAAAGTTAACTAAAATTATGAAAGAACAATTGCAATTTAGAACACATCATGCTACAATAGATATGCTAACAAATCACCTTTAGAATATACCAAAATAATTCCTGCAGTAGTACTAAATGGATTTTCAACAACATCAAGTTATTTTTTTTCTTCCCAGGCAGAATCCATGTGAAATACCAAAATTATTTTAATCAGTTCTAATAAGATACCAACCCTTAAAAATGTCTTTTACCTCCATTAGTTTGATTTGTCTTGCCCGATCGTCTTTTAAGTGGTTTTTGGCTTCCAGTTCATACTCCAAGCCTTTCACAGTCTGTTCTAGGAGCTGAGTTTTTGTTATTGCCTCATCCTGAGCTCTTTGGTGGTCCCTCAAGTTTTCTTCCATAAGACGCATCTGAAACAATAAGATTATGGTAATACACTTTATACTGTACTTTCTATAAATAGTGATGTCAGTAAAGGGGATTGACTACAAACATGACAGATCCGGAAGCATGACAGGAATTGCATTGAGTTACATGCTTTTCACAGTAATTTTTCTTTTATCCACAAGATGGCACCAAGAAAATAAACTTAGATTAAATATCAGCTCTAAAGAGATGCTTCACACTACAGGTTTTACAGTGACAATTATACAGAGTGGGTTATTTATTTATTTATTTATACCCAGTTACAGCAAGCCAAAATTTTCACAGTTTTCTAAATGGTCATATCTTTGGAACTTTTGCATTATTATTCGTTTCCTTTTCAGACTAGCAATACTTTAGCTTTTAAGTAATTATGTAGTTTATATGTCTGAGGCACTTCGATGACAGTATTTTACCAATTACATAATTGCTAACATATATATATATGTATAACTTTTAGCTATAGCAGGGCTATCTGCTGAGGACAAGTTTCCTATTCTAACAACAGTGTGTACTCAATAAAATTATCTAAAACCTTCATAGTACTTGAAAAAAAAAAAAGTAGTGAGAGGGGTTTTAGGCGAGTCTGTGATTGTTCCTTATACTTGTAACACATACATAATATATGACGAGGGTTTTTTTTCTTCAGCATACAGTCTTCCATATTCTTCCTCTGTTCAGTCAAGTGCTTATTTTAGCGATGAAGCTAAAATAATGTATTAGTGACTGTTTACAGAGTTTGCTACCTATTGCTAAGTCCTGACAACAAAACACTGGACATCTGCATGACTTGGTGAACAGCTAGTTAAGTGTAGAGATCTGTATATTAATAGCATTTCATATGCATTTAACATTTCAGAATCACATTGGATTGACAGCTTTCAAGGTTGGTATCTTTTATGTATCCACAGAGAACTTACAAGAGACGCAGCAATGAAGAACTCCCATACTGCCTTGCAAGACTGTTTCATAATTTTTTGGCTAGAACACGAAGACGATACTCGTGTGGCCATGATCATTACAATCCTTGGCTTTTGATGAGACTCTCAAAAAGAACGTTTTGTGCACTATGACACCTACCCAAGAGGATTTTCAGACAACAGACTCTTTCACGTTGAATGGAAGGACTATCTATTTGTACTTCTTGTTAAACACAAAAGAGGAAGAGATAAAACAGACTTTCAATTGTCCTGAATATTTAGTCTCTCTAGAAAGTCTGCTGTTTAACGTGCCTATCCTGTATTTTCGGATTTTGCTTCCTCTTTTGCAGCTAGTTTCCACACTACACTATTAAAGCCCTAGGATTGTAAATATTGCCTCATGGAGATGTAGAATTCCACAACCAGTAATATTTTGTCCTTTATATAGTGTTTGGATTATCTTTTTGTCAAATAGTGAAGGTTTCTTTCGTTCTGAAATTTTTTCTTTGTATTTGTTTTGTAGTTGTAATAGATAACAGAACAAGTATTTTTCATAACTACAGTGTGTATACATATTTACATACACACATATACATATTTTTTATTTAAGCTGTTTATTCTCATTTATTCAACTTAAGAGTCATGTTCTCAATATCCCAGTTTTGTCTTTCACATTTCATTATGAGCCTTCATCCCTTTACAAAGGCTCTCCCTCCCTGAATGGAATAAATATAGAAGGAAGACAGAATAATATATAGGAACTATACTTTCTTCTCTTGCTGTTCTTTTAAATTGAATTTAAAACAAGTTTGTTAAGGGGAGAGGGCAACATAAGAGAAGTTCTGAACTGGAAAAATCAAACTATTAAAATATTCTACACACAGAAAACATCTATGACCGGTGTATCCTCATAGCTATTCCAATTGCAAAACAAGTATATGCTGATCTTTAAAAGACTGGATTGCCTTTATGGCAAAATTTACATGCTAAGAGGCAGACACTTCAAGACTCTGGTTGATTCTTGGTCGCACAGACACTTCGTCATTTAAATCTGCAACTTGGCTCATACGACGGAAGAGGAGAATGTATGTCAACTCCTTTAGAGCCAGAATTTTGTTGTTGTTGTTGTTTTTTTCATTGGGTTGGTTGGTTTGGGGTTTTTTGTGGGTTTTTTTTCTGTTTGACTTTTTTTTTTGTTCCCCCCCCTCCCCCCCCCCAACTGCTGGGTTTTTTTTTCCTAATTCAAGAATATTTCCACATTCTCAATTCCTTCAGTAGCATGCATTAATAGAGCAGCAGATCATCAATGGAATCCTTGTCATATCACTTAAGATACATTCATTTGTCAAACACTGCATTTATCTATCATAAACAGAAACCCCATTTCCCTGGCAGAAGTAACACGATGATCATCATCATGAAGACTGAAACTCAAAAGCATGCTGATTGACATCAGTCTTTCATGATGAAGTACACGAAAGTGTGATAGCAAACATTCATTGTCTTGAAAACTGATCTAAATTCTAGGTCAAAGGTTAGAATTTGTCACTGAATTTATGAGTCATTACCTCATCTTGCATTCTCATGGCTGTCAGGCGTGATTTTTCTACCTCAAGGTTTTTCTCTTTTAATTGTCTCTGCACATCTGCAAGTTCCCTGCGATTTTTCTCCTTGTATTCATCAAGGTGGTTCTGAAGCTCCAGCGTTGATGTTCTTGAGACCTCTACCATTTCAGACATCTGGGAAAAAAGTACATATAATTTTCTTCCCAAAATAGTGCTACAAAAGAGTCTATCACGCTTAATACACCAGAAGTTTTTTTTCTCCAGCTTCGATATTCAGCTCAGTATTTTCAAATGGAAAATTTACCAAACATGTTCCCAAACAAATGAATTTCTATGCAAAAGTGTGAAAACAGAAAACAGTAAGGTTATTTTCTAATAGTAGGGGTGGGAAGACTATTCTCCTTTTGTCTGTCAGCAGTTCTTCCAGCTGACTGACATAATGAACTGCACAGTCACACTTCACTATATCAATATTAAGTTGTACGGCTTACACACAGATGGCAAAATAAGTCTAATGGAGTAGCGTTTTGAGAATCAGCTGTAAAACTCTGAAATACCGCTGTAGCATATATTAGAACTGATCTCAAATCTGGGATCTTGTTTAAACCACACAGAACTGTTTTACAAAAGTATTTTCAGATAGCGGTGTTCTAACCACTGTTCCAGCCCTAAAAGCTTTTATTGATAGTCACTATGTTAAAGAGACTAATAGTAAAGTTTGCATTTCACTTTCTTTTACACATTTAAAAAAAAAAAATTCTTTACAATTTGGCAGCTCATTTGCTTCTGTCTGTTAGATATTCAGATTCCTGCAGCCTCTTTGGGGTGAACTCATACCTCCTCCTGTAACTTTTCAACAGTCTTGTTCAGTTGCCATCGTTCATTCTCCATTTCATTCTTTATCTGCTTTAACTGTTCCTTCTGGTAAGTTTCATCTTTTAACTGCTGAGTTAACTGTTGCCGTTCCTGCGAAATACAACGGATGTTCTCCTGCAGTAGATTAAAAAAAATATATAATTAAATGTAGACCCTCTTTTCTAATGCCTTAAAGGAATGTTATATAACACACTCTGTGAAGCAGTAATACCACCAGCTGTTGTAACACTAAGACAAACTTAAATAAAAAAAAAAAAATTATGGAGTTACAGTTTGCTAGTCAGTGTAGGACAAACATTATTTTAGCGATGCAGTGCTTTATCCTTCCTATAAAAAACACTGTTGCAACATTCATACAACCAAGCGTAGACCCTTTTCATGATTCTGTTACATGCAAAGCATACATTCCTTGGCAGCTGCACACATGTCAGCAAATCCTACCTCCTGCACGAGGTTCAATATCCATTTCAGGTTTCACATTTTCCTATATGCTCCCTTTAATGCTCCCTTAAAAGTTTTCTCAACAACAACCTTTTTTCCTAGGTAAAACAAATAAAACAAAATACAAATCTGTTCCTATGATGAGTGAGAAATAACTAGTGGTGATTTTCTTTTCCCCGTTGCTGTGCTTCTACAGCACCCAGAAGCCCTAATCAAGATGATGTCTCATTGTGACAGATGCTGTGCAAACAGAACTTTGTGGCTCCTAGCAAAGAAATCCCCTTCCTGAAAGAACTTTTGCCATTAATGTTCAAACCAGACCTTCATTATCTGGATTGAATTTTGAATGAACTGCAGAGCTATGCCATATGCTCATCTACCAGGAGCTCCAAATGTGTCTGCTATTACATTCAGAATGTTTAAGAACTTACCACTCTCCAACTTCTAGATATCGTCCATCAGCAGAATAACTGACTGTCACTAGTTTGATCCAATACAAGAAAAGCAGGTGATCTTTCATCTGCATGTTGGGACTCTCACCTCTTCCTTCTCCCTCCATAATAAAATACCTTAACGGCCCTACTCTAAATAGACACCACAAGACTAAAAAAAAGGCTTGTCTTTATGAAGTCTGAGAGGCACCATTAAATTGATTAAAACCAGATTATGGACAGTTTAAATTGTTCCAACAGAAAAATGTAAATAATTAAAGTCACAATAAATTGTAAAAAGCACTCCAAAACATTGTTTTACATTTTAATATTGGAAATATAAAGTTTTGTTGAATATCTAATACCTATGATGCTTACTTTATTACACTTTAAAAAACTTCAAATGTGAAAACACAGTAGTATTTCTGTAGGCAATATAGATCAGAATCTCAAAAACCAATTGTTCTATTATAAGACAAAAGAAAACATCGTCAAATGTTAGAAGTTAGAGATTTCTTTAGATTCATTGTCTCGCTTACATTCCTGTATAACCTGTCAACAAAAGACATCTCTCATACAAACAGGAGTTATGGTGGATGCCTAAGAAGTGTATACATAACCCTAAAACATGCTGGGGGCTAATAGATGTTGTTTTGCAAAGCCTAATTCTACACCAGAATCAGTTTAGCTGACACCAAAGGATTTTAAGAACCTTGAAAAGGTTCAACTTTAGCACTTTAGTTCTAAAAGCTGCTGAAGTCTTGGGACCCTGCTAATGTGCCATATTTGAACAGGTTATAAAAACCTCATGTGCGCCCCCCTCCACCAGCTTTTCACAGATCATTTAACTTTATTGTTTGTTTACACCTCCTTGAGAAACAAACTGCACAGACACAGATCAGTGAAATATGCTGTGGCAGAATAATGGTGCCAGCAGGATGCTGTTCTGCATTTCCAGTGTGCTGAAAAGGGAAGTAAACATCAGAGCAAATCTGGTCACTCTCTTTACTTCAGAGTTATCAACAACAAAAAACCCCCAAAAAACAACCAACCAAAAAAATCAATCGCTAATATGAGAAGAAATTTCATCTACTACCTGGGGCTATTGCCAAAGTAGTAATAGGTAAGAATAATTACAATATTTAAAGAAAATAATAAATGGGGGGCTTGATGCAAGCAGTGGATCACCTCAATTTTCATCAGGTCATGCTAACTTTTGCCTGATTTTCAGGCATGTAGCAGACTGAGACACCCAAGATTGAAATTTAGCTTTTTCTCCTTTGAGTTATATTCTGGCATCCTGAAAAGAAAAAAATCTGTACTTTTCATGTATTGCATCTCCCCATTTTCATCAACGTATTTTCACTGCTTGTTACTAAGAAGTATAAAACAAATATTAAGTACACTACTAAAAATCAGAGTGTTGTGAAATTGTAATTACAATTATTTTAATAGAAAACACAATTCCTAGATAACTGACCTGTTCCAAGGAGAAATTTCAGTTTTGCTGAGTTTGTTTTTAGTTAATTCAATAAACTGACAGCGGCAATGCTGCTTCAGAGTATTATGGGAACTGAAGTTCAGTTGCTTCATGCTCTCATTCCCCCACGTCTATTAAAATCTCTCACGCCCATGTCCCTCTTGTGATGCATCAGTATCTGTTGAGCCATCTGATGTGCCATAAGAATCATAGGACTAAGCATTTCCTGGACCCAGTAAAGATTCTACCACTTTCCAGCCTCCCCTTCTGGTAGATCACATTTATTAGTGACAGGAGAAAGCAAAAGCTTCTCTGGGTACATATAAAGTACAAGATTGAAAAAAAATTTACACCAGTGTTTTTTCTTACAAAATCAACAAGTTTTTAGCGCACGATCAAATGTTTCATATGCACAGCCATTCTCTTTGGAAAAGTGTATCATAACTGATCGTTCTCTGGGCTTGATGAATTCTACTTGGCTGGAAAAGGTGGTTTTCTTACCGCACCATTCTGCATAATCTTCTCAAAATCTATTTAATAGGTGTCCATATTATGATCTGTATTATTTAGCTAGTAACTATGCCATAGAATAATTTATTCTTCAAGTAGTGAAATTACCACTAAAGCATAATAAAGTCCTGTTGTTTTGCTAAAATGTAGCCAGCAGAAAACTTGATAACATAGGTATAGGGTAAAAATATTCCTCATGAAAACTGAGCATTGCAACAGAAATGATCTTTGTTTTACTAAAAACCCTGCATTACAACATATACTGCTTCATTCTTGTAATATTATTCAGGGGAAATATGTAGCTTCCCATCAACATCATTTTCCTTGGGCAACACAAATTAGGATATGGTATTTCCCTTTTCTAGATTAGCTGATAAAAGAGAAAAATACTGATAAAAATTAGCATGCCTAGCTTAACATTAATATTTGAGATAGACTAATACGTCATGCTAGAAACAACTGAACTTCCATTTATATCAGTTTGATTAACTCAAGTATTAAAAAACAAGATGCAATGACATGTTGCTACTGACTATCCAAATGCTGCAATTTCCTCAGTGTCTAGCCCTTCAATACACTACACTGAATTTCAGTATTTGAAATTTGGGATGTCCTATAGGACAGCTTCAATAGTCAACTCGAGTCTAACCTCTCCCCTTCACTAACAAAAATCGTGGACTACTTTTGACTGGAATTGGCTGGCCTGTCAGTTACAGTGTAACCACAAGTCAAATAAACAGTTTGTCAGTTGCCAATTTAAAGCCAATCTGTAGCAGCAATTAATTACTTTGTGAAGAAGCTTAAGTGTTATCTCAGCACAAGTGAGGCTAACTCTACAGCGGTATTTCCCAATTTCAGGTTGGTGGACAGACAGTGGTCCAGAAGGCAGGAGCCATAAAATAACAACAGAACACACTCACATTTCCACATATCCAGAGAAGGAAAGAAAACAAAACAGGGGAAAACAAAAGTAGTAATTTGTTTTCATAGTAACCTATAAGATTATTGCTATACTTCCTTATTTTTCCAAACAATAGTATTTGAACGATCTCTTTACAAAATTAATAATCTCTTTTAACTGATAACTGAAAATTAAGAATATATTTCAACTTACAGTGCTCTGCAACACTAATTCTATGTGCCTACCATTATTTACCACAATAAAAAGACAAGTTTCATATTCTTCCACCCATGGAAAGGATCCTGTATTCTGATTGTTTAATTTAACAAGCATAGAATACTTGGCACTGCCATTCATAATGTTGGTATACTTAATATTTTTTTAATATATTGCAGTACCATATATGCTATGGTTCAGGTACATAATAATCATATTAAATTATTTCCTTTCACAAGAGAGTTCTCAAGAAAGTTCCAAAAGTCTTATCAATATTGCAAAAATGTTAAGATATATTTCATTTCTTGAAACAGTAGACTACATAGAGGAGGCTACCCTAAACCAGAGGTTATAACACAGCACGAGACACTGCAAAAAATACTATTTGCCTGACCATCCATAAAGAAAATTTCAATATATACTGAGGTTGATTTTAGACAAAAGCATTAAAACAAATTGTCTATAATAATTAAGTGTATTCCAGCTTTAACTTTTCTGAGTAGAAATTTGGGATGGAGGAGGAATAGACTTGGCTATGTTTACAGTAACTGTTACAATTCTATTCATATTGTCATTGTCTTTCTTATGCTAGTCCACCATTAAAAGTCATTTATATTACGTAAAAAGCAAGATGGGCCAGTCAGGAATTAAGTTTCCACTGTGATAAGCATTATTTCTGTGCCAAAGTTTGTCGTGTAAATTGTCAAAGGTAACGCAAGGCCAAAACAGCCTACTGCACAACATTGTTCATTAAAACAAGCAAAAATCTAAAGACAGAAAAGCTGAATTCTTCTAAACAAAAGGGACTGCTGATTACATCTTGAAGTCTGTTAGTGCTTGTATCTGGACAAGAAGAGTGTAGAGTCAGAAAGAGGTTTAAACTTAGTGTGCCAGAAATTAGACATAAGTTGTGAATAAAATGACAAGACAGACTCTTCTATCTGTCACCTTCCCTAGATTAATTTGGAGACCCAGCCTGGAGGCAGCATTACTTGGCATGATGCCCTGAACGATGCATAAACAGAAAAGAAAGAACACACTTTTCAAGTATCTTGACCCAAAGCTAATCGAGATGCAGGAGATTTATATGGTGCATTTATTCATGTTGTGCAGGAAGGTCAAGCCAGACAGTGATAGAAGGGAGTTCTTAGAGAACAGTGCTAAATGCAAGCCAATGATGAGCAATGAGCCAGCTATTGTGACTGTGCAGACTATCAGCAATACATACAAACAAATCTGGAGAATCCGTGAGGTAGAACAGATAAACAGATATAAAAAGGAAAAAAAAAACAACCGACCAAAAGCCTCAGATGGAACACTTATTGATCTAGATACAAGGAACATCAGCTTAAAAACATCATTTTGCAGAAACAAAACTTCCTTACCATTACTGTTAAAATCTTATTCTTGAAGCACATTCCATTTTAAAGACATAGTAGTATTTCTTGTTGTTGTTATTTTTTTCTTTTTACCAGAATTAACTGAACCATGAGAACATGCTGGTTAACACAATCTTCCCTTGGTTTATAATCCACTTATAGACAAGTTTCATTTTCAGATTTTCAGAACAGTAACGTAAAATTTGTGCTGAAGACAACAAGGGAAAACATCTGTTCAATTAAAAAAGGGTTGCTAGCAATGTATATGTACCTCACTTTTGAGTCTGACTTGTTTGATAGAATCACTTAAAAACTTTGCTTCTAGAAGCAAAACTAAGAGAATCTAAACTATCTGATACTGTAGAAATAGATGCTTCTTCGGTACATGTAAAAGGTCAATTACAAAGAGGAAAGATTAGGTTTGCAACTTTTTCAGATACAGAATGTGATGTCCATAAGAAGAGTTTTAAGATTTATACACATTCATCTCCTTACTAAACAGATCTGTATTTTCATTCCATCTGAATCATTCTGTATTTACTCGTACGTAATATTGCCAACATCCCTCTCCACTGCTCTTAAGTAGATGCATTCTCCACATGTTTAATTTCTGGGCTAATGTGGGAGAAAGCATATCCTTTCCTGGATACTGAATAGAGTAAGGAGCAAGGTGGAAAGAGGACTTCATACAGAGTTTAAGAGGCTGCAAGTCCTAGTGGTATGTGTTAAATTTCTCTGGTTTTGTGATGAAATATACCAGTTCCATGCAACATTTGCAAATAAGACAGTTTGTAAAAAATAAAAAGAGAAGCCAATTTCCTGATATTTGTCTACCACCAATATTTTTATTTATATCCAAGTACAGCTTTTTATTCTTTTAATGTAAATACCTACACACAACCGGAGTTGAACGATCAGTCAAAATAATAAAACAGATTTATAAAACCTTAGACAGGCAGTTTATTTTGCGATTCATCTCCCTGAAATTTTGCTAGATCGATGGAAGTAAAACAAACAAACAAACAAAACACAAAACAAAACAAACAAACGAAAACCAAAATACTTTCGCAAGAAAACAATTTTGATTAGATGATGCTATGCTTTCAGGAAACATTTGAATATTGCAGTGAGGTCTGGACTTTAAAACAAAGCGTACTTCAACAAGAATGAGATGTTATTCTGCAGAAAGCAATAGTGACTCAGGTAAACAAACAGGAAATTTAAAATTTAAATATTCCAATTTGCTCTTGTTCTTACCTGCATATCTTCTAGTTGGCTTTCCAAAGACCCTTTTAACACCACCAATTCTTTTGCCTCCTTTTCAGCATGTTTCAAAGCTGCTTCTAATTGTTGCTTCTCTTCCTGCAATGATACAATTTGATACATTTAGAAATAGTGGCAAGGTCTTAAATCTGACAAGTAAACTGAACTACAAAGTATGTTCCCTCTGGCCTATCACTGATCGCACTAGTTCCAAGCTGTAACTTGCTTTTACACTGCTTTTCACTGGCGAAATCTTTCCTATACATGTCAGCAAACTTCTTCATCGTACTTCTTGAAAACCTGCTTGTTTTACTTAGCCTTCCCAATGACATTGCCCATCCTTCTCTTTGTCAATTTTTGTTTTATAATGTATCCTTTGCAAACAGGAAGGGCCTTGTTTTCTTAACTTACCTCATATCTCTCTATTTTTTCCTTCACTGAATTTTCTTCTCCTTTCATGTTATCAATTTGTTTGTGCAACTCTTCAATTTTACTCTCTAGCTCATCAACTGTTCTCTTCAACTGTTCATTTTCTTCAGTCAGCTCTTTGACTTGATTTTCTATGCTATTTCGCACCTCTTGTGCAGCGTTTCTTTCACTGGCAAGGACAGCAGCACTCTAGTGAAAACAAATTACGTCATGTTTAAAAAAAAAAAATTGATGCTGTTTTCCAACAAAAGTTTCATATGGCACCACAGCAAATATAGCTAGGATATAACATTAAAATGTCAATAAAGAATTTAACTTATAGTCTGCATGCATTACAAACATATATTTTATTCTTCATATTACTGTGGAGCATTTTTTTTCTCAGGCATACCTATGTGCTAAAGTAACATAAAACACCTGAACAGTCTCATGCCTGCCATCACATATTTTCACCTTAACATCTTATTCTTTATTGCCCTAAATATTTTCATTACCAAATCCCATTGTTAGGTAATTCCAAGTAATCTAAAAACCTTACAGATATCAAAAGTCATATGGACCTTTAAGGAAGAACATATTGATGAAGAGTGTCTTCCATAGCAACACAAAATTTAGGCAGTCTCACCCCGCTGCTTATTCCAAGCACTAACATACAACACTCTACATCCATGCAACTATTTGTGGGGCCGCAGAGTAAAACAACTTAGAGAACAGGATCAACTGTAATGTATACACACATAAATATAAAGAGATAAATATAAAGAGATCTTGACACTAAAAAAAAAAAAAAAAAAAAAAGGGCGGGTGGGTGGAGGTGTTACTGGAAAAAAGCCCCAGTCCATTTCAAAACATGGTCCCACAAAGTGCTGTGTCAGCAAAGAAGAGCAGACGGTGAGCAGGCACGAACAAGCAATAGAGACTGGAAGTACCTTCCAGTGGTATTGGTGCAGCTCTACCCGCATATCATACAGTCCACACATGGGGCTATACTTATTCAGTAGAAGTTCTGCTTGATTGTCAGTTACTGCTTGAGGATGGAAGGAGTTCAGCTACTTGTATTCAAGAAGATACACTTTGTATTTTTTCAGAAACTCAAATCAATATACGGCACAAAGACAAATTATAATAAACTCATCACAATTTATCACATGTAGTGATAGATTTTTTTTTTTTTTGGCAGGGTAACTGGCTGCAGCATGTAACTTTTCAGAGCTAATCATCACCTTAGTCTCACCACTTACTCTCTCTAAAACACCCTATCATTTATTGTGGAAACCATGAGTAGAAGTACGTATCTATATTGTTATGCTATCTATACTGTTATACTATTACACAGACCAGGTATGTATTTGTAAACATTTAATTCTGTGGAGTAAAGAGCTGGAAGGATTTAATCTTTGCTCTTCATTGACTTGTCAGTCAGAATCCCCTCCAAAGAACATAATCCGAGATACAATTTGTAGTTCTTGCTCTTGGGCATTCAGGGTCTGATAGAAAGCAATACTCTGTACAAAGATCTGGTTCTCATGTATAGGCTCACTGCCTTCTACATTAAGACCTTAAACAATAGTAAGAACACCAGAACAGATGTATGAGTCTAGACCAGTATTCTCCCCAGTGGCCACAGATTATGTTTATGGACAAAAAGAGGAAGAACAACTACAGGGCAAGCCTTTCCCCATTACACACTCCCAGCTCTCACTGTTTTTCCTCCGTGAATGTATCATCCATTAACTTCTCTAATCCTTTTTGAATCCATTTATACCTTTGGCCTCTACATTACCTGGTGACAACAGGTAATTACACATTAATTACTGAAGCATAACATTTTTGCATGCGAAATTGTGTTCATCTGGCTGAAAACAGAAGAAATCCCACAGAGTAGTTTGGTAAGAAACTATTTTGTAAAGTATTTCATGAAAGCCTGAAAATCACTTCAGCTATGCCATTTTTGATTGTAGCTCCCAATTTTCCCCTCCCCACCCCCAAAATGAATAAGCAAAGCTATATAAAAGGGTGTTTACAAAGTGCGCCCTCACTAGACTTTCTAGCAAGCAACAGCTTTAAAATCATGCAAATTAGTTTGATAAAGCAGTAACTCAGAAAACACTCAGACTGTCTACAGGGTCAATGAACTTATTATACAAAAACTGGCAGCGTAAGTAGGCTGACAAGTTCTGGTCTTTTGAAAATACTGAAAAAACTTGTTCTTCTAAGTACACAACTAGTTAGAAGCTCTGAAATAAATCTCTGTCAATGCTTTAAGTTCTCACATACTGAAATTTCCATAGCATTTATATATTCCTTTAATTTTTGCTTTTAACATAGAGCAAAGTTTTACTAATTAGCAAGCACTCCACCAGTGGCTCCTTTTTGTCTCATTTCCCCTTTCTGGAGCTGACTGAAAGCAGCTGAGGCATGCTGGGGAGTTCAGGGAAAGGAATGTTGATCTGTCTGTTCTTTTTCATCCAACCGCCTACACAGGGCTGCACAGTAAGAGAAGACTGTAGCAGACCCCACTGTACCTGAAGATTCCACTACCTCATCTACCATGGTTTGCTCTTTCCAACACAGGAAACATTATTTACTTAGAAGTACATGCACACACACACAAAAGCAAACAACCGAAAAAACTCCCCAGATCTACATACATAAATATACACATAAATATATATATATGTATGTATTTAACCTAACAGGTTCAAAATTAAGTTCAACCTACACTGATGCAGTCATATCTAGAGATCTGCTCCAGCCTGCCTTTTGCTGTATGTATCTTAGGATACTGTTCCAGCCACTAAAATTAAACTAACCTGGTATTCTCTCTCCTTTTTCACTATGTATTTCAGTAAGTTAGCAAGATGCTAGGTGAATATCTATAAAAGGTAGAGAAGTATAAAGGGCAAGTTGCAAGTATTATCTTTATTAACCTAATTAAGAATCTTGGAAATAAATTGGGTATATAAGTAAAACCTGCCAAAAGTTCCAGCTGCCTGAGTGACCACCACTAAACCAGCAGATCTCCACAGGTCTCTAATGACCTTGGCATCATTACAAGGGTTACACCTTCACATGAATGAACTGTTCCCAAACAAATTCTCTAACATATTAAGGACAAAATTCCTTCTTTTCACCTGGAAGAGGTATGTCGTAAAAAAATACCAACAATAAATATATACACTCAACTTTTTCAAGATGGTAGGAAAACTCTCTTGGTATATATGGGGAGCTTTACGGTACTTTAGTTGGAGGGCGGGCATGGTTCTTACATATCTTCTGGGGATGATATGTAATAATGCATATTTCTTCACATTGCCTGTTTCACTGTACACTACTGTTTCAACATTTTTTCAACTTGTTTCTGATAAGACTGAAAAGAAACACAGGAGTATCTATCCTATCAGTTTACCTTACACAATTGTACTATACATATAAGGCATCGAAGATCACCTTCAGAATATCATTCAGGATGATATTAGAAAAAACAATACACGAGTATCTTCAATTTGATAGTGAAATTTAAACCAAATCAAACCACACAAATACAGTTTAGATGTTCATTGAGTAGGAAATGCACACATAGCATCACTGCTCCAAAAGACTCAAATTACACAGGTGGGTTTAGTTAGAAAAAAAGCCTATATTCATTTATCCCCAGCGTAATGAGAATTGTAGGCAGAGCTCTTCACTGACATAAGTGAATCTTCTGGATTATAATACCCTTCGGCAATACATGCCATTCCTGTAGCATACTGCCACAGAAAGTTAGGGTATCAAAAAACTCCGCGCCTCTTCCCTTCTCCTATTCTGCACTGTTAGTCTTATCTGGCACCCCACGTCACCTTCCACCTCCCCTCCAGGTCTTCTCTTCGAAGACAGGTGAACATGATAAAAAAGAGCCTAAGTATCATTAGAAAGGATATGCAAAGGAAACAAGCACTGAAATGTAGTTCTGACAGACCTTGTAGCAACATCATTAGTGGAGAACCCCGTGGAGAGCGATCCCTATCCATATATTGAACAGTTACATAAGGTTCAGGCCAGCAGCTGTCAAATCATACATGGACACTGCTGAAGCAGAAATAGATTGTTGTGTCCTTTGACTATGGAACCCTACCACACAGGCAGTGTACTCAACCAGCCCCAAGCACCTAGAAGGCAGTATTACTCACATAGAGAACATATGCTAAATTTACTATTCTGTTGTTAGAGATGGCCTATTATATTCTGCATAAAATTCCCCTAATAAAACATGCCCGTAGAAGATATGAAAACCACTGCACTGAAATTACTGAGAAATTACTATGTACGTTGATAAATTCTGAATGCCAATTACTGCACTTCATAGGCTAAAACTGAAAGTGGCAACAGCGTGACAGTTTAAACTGTACAACAGATGCTATTTGCTAACAACCAGCAGTAATCCTATTCTCTTTGGTTCTGTCTACATGAGCAATAAGGCACAGCTTTCATTTAAAGTTCAGTGACTGGCTCACACATTCAAAAAAGGAGTTGAAAGCTGTTTGCAAAAGCATTGGAGTGGGTTAGAATGATGAGGATGAAAGCAGAAGGATAACTGAACACTATAGGGCTAGGAAGTACAATTGAGGAAAAAAGCCAGACAGGGAGAACTCATATGTACAGATTGTGCTGTGGATCCATACCCTTCAGTCCACACATGACTTATTTGTAATAGTGCTGTACATGAACACTGTGAGTTAACAAAAAGTCCTTAAGGCTTAATGACACTACATCAGTTAATGACTCCTGTTGGTACCCATTCATAAATCCTTTACACTGCTACATTTAATATTCGGGGATGTTGGTAAAGTTTTGGCAAACATTTTAACTGAGTTTATGTAAATTTAACCCATGGTAACAGAACTGGGTAAAGGTCAGAAAGTAATGATTTAAGCTGAATATGAAACATTAACAAACATGTTAACACAACATGATCTTTAGTTCACAGAATTGTTCATCAGCCTCTTCAGAGAGTTGAAATGAGATTATGTACGTAAACACATACAGTGCACATAACATATAAAACTGGTTAAACAAGATTCTTGAAGACAAAAGCTGGAATGAAATATTGTATATTCATACATATTTGCCATACAAAAAAACCCCAAAACAAACCAACCAAACAACAAAAAAATCCCCCCCCCCCAAAAAAAAAAAGGGGGAAAAAAAATTGTATCAAGTATTGAAGTGGGTTCTTTGGATCTTAAAATTAGCATATCTTAATTCCAAGACTGCAGTTTCTTCCCTATGATACATGAACCATGCTTATTTCTTTTTACTCCCACTTGCTAGTTGTGGCAGTATGTTTTAGTAAATCAGCTTGTTACTATATTATATTATGGAATTATACTTATGTAAGGTAAAAACCCTATAGCATTTTCCTTGTTATGTTTGTTTGCCTGCATTTGTTTTGTCTTTCCTTCCAATCTGTCTGTCCTCACTGTCCTCCAGGGCATTCAGCACCTTCTATTCCCTACGTTTAGCCTGAGATTCACATTCAGATTTCCATCTCTTCAATCTCTGAAGGAATAATACATTCCTCTTAATACCCACATCCTTGCAGACTTCTTGAACACACTCATACCTTCTTCTCATTTATTATTTTTGAATACATGAAGTATTTTTTATGCTTTCTCAAATTTTATCATGTTTAAACTCATGATTTAAGACTGAGCAAGCCTTATCAACAGACTTAAACTACAGAGATTAGGTAAAAGAAGCTGGAAATGGGTTGTAAGTTTCTGAAAAAAAAGAAAAAAAGCCTGTCTAGAAGAAAGAAAACATGGCTGTAACGATGAGGTCCCACAATACAAAGTCCTCTGTGACTGCTTGAAGATAAGCTTCTGCATTCTGACATTGTCATTGTGCCATACTGCACATGTAGCTTTCCTTATTAGCCCAGCAGTGAATTCAAACCATGAATAAAACAAGTTATCAAATCCTAATAGAAAGGTCCACT